TTTTGCCTTGGCTTCTTGAAGAAGCCTTGATCCTTTTACTTAGCTTCTCTTGGAAGCTTAGCACCTTTGATGGTCTATATAAGGAGACAAACCCTCTCCTTTGTTTTGGTTCTGCAAAATCAGACCTAGAACATATATATTCTGATACATACATCTCCTCTCTCTATATCTCCCTCTCTCTCTTCATTTGTGTGTGTTTGAGGGCCTAAAAGGGTGATTTGTTCTTACTTTTGCACTAAGACACACACCATTACACCATACTTCAACTTTGGGAGGTGTTGAGGGTTTCTTCTTGAGGTTTTGAGATGGTTTTGATCAGAAGAAGGTGGCTGGACTTGCTGTTCTTGACGTGTTCTTCAAGGGTAACACTTTTGCTTTAAATTCCCCAATCTTGCACTAGCTTTTGACCTGCTTTGCATACTGATTTGAGCTTCGTGTATAACTGAAAAACGTCTTGTATTTGCATGCTCAAGATACTTTATTCAGGTCATTTTGTTGTTTGGGGTCGATCTCCCCCTCTTAGGCCTTGTTTGGCCCTTTTTGTACTCTCTTTGTTAAGCTTTGGAACCTCTTGTGTATTGGCCTTCTCACTACTGAAATCCAGTGGATTTTCTGTGGTGAAGAAGGGGTTTTGAGGTCTTGCATAAGGGAGGGACACTCCTCTCCCTTTGTCTCTCTTTTTTCGCATTTTTGGCTCTTAATGGTAGCAGGCATGAGTAGTTGTCTTTGGTACCATTTCAGAGGTTTTTGGATGTTGTTAGGTCACAATATGCCTATGTTTTTGGTCGGATTAATGACCCCTTTCATGCCTAATATACTTGCCTTGTATTCCCCCATTTTGCCTAGAAGTGCATCTTGCATCTAGCCTACCATGCTCTCATATTTTGGCCTAACTTTGTGAAGTTCTTTGCCATGTCTTACCATGCTTGAGGTCTGTGGGGTGCTGTTTTGATCATATTTGCCATGTTTGGTATAGCCTCTTTGCATTTTGGCTTGTGAGCCTTGAGGGTGTGAGTTATGAGCATGCTTTAGTTGGGTTGTTTCAATCCGGGTAACGTGATAGGCTCGCGCTGTTTTGATCATATTTGTCATATTTGGTATAGCCTCTTTGCATTTTGGCTTGTGAGCCTTGAGGGTGTGAGTTATGAGCATGTTTTAGTTGGGTTGTTTCAATGATTTGGGGTCATTTTACATGCCGTCTCAGTGCCTAATCCATGCTTGCATGATTGCATTCATCATCCCTTTCATGCCTTGAAACGTTGTTCTTTTATGCCTTGAAATAGGTCTTGATGCATGCCTCTTGTTTTGTGTCCCTTAGGTGCCATATCAGTTGGTTTTAGGGGTCCTTTTTGTATGCTAAAACTTTGTTTTGTAATGAAAAGTTTATGCCATGTTTGCTTGGGGTAGGTGTTGAGTAATGCCCTCATTTGAGGCCTTGAATGCTCCTCTTTTTTTTTTTACATCCATTTCCTAGCATATTTCGGCATCATCCTTCATATGTTTTTTTCAGAGTTTAACATGAGTGTTTGATGTCTTTGTTTGTCACCCTTAAGTGTCCTTGAGGGCTCCCCCTCCCATGCTTAGGTGATAGGCCTTGGTGTGTGCATGCTTGCATGCGAAATTTGTGCCATTTTTGGCTCTTTTGACCACTGTTTTGGGGTGTGGCTGAGGCCTCCCATTTCAGTCTAAGTCCATCCTTGTGTATAGTAGTATGTTTGATTTATTGTCTCTAGTTGCATTCTTGCAATATACCATGTTTGCATTACATGATAGGTTGCATTGCATTGCATCTCGCATGCTTAATACATTACATTTGCATGCATAGGTTACATTGCATTTGGCATGTTTTGTGCCTTAGTCATTTCTCACATTTGGGCCATGTTTGTATACATGCATTGCATTGCTTGGTTTGGGGTGTCAAACCAAGCATGAGGGGTGAGGTGTGTTCGTACTCAAAGTGACGAAACACGTCTCATTCCTCGGTTGCCAATGCCCTTGATCTCAAGCATGATAGGGTGTAAGGCACTCATCTCTTTTGTTGCATGCATTTTACATTGAATGGCAAGCTTGGCCTCTTAGGCCATCATGCATCAAAACGCATAATTGATGGCCCGAGGGTCGAGAGCCACGCTCCCATGAGTCCATTGCATGATAGGGAGTGTGGCCACGCACACATTTGCTTGAAAATCCCATACCATACGCTGTCTATCCTCTGCTGCTGTCAAAACAGATTTCTGCAGGAACATTTGGCCGACCAACTACTTATTGTGCCGACCGACCAAATACAATTAGCCGATAGTTAAACCAATGGTTGATGACTATTCCCTTTGGCCGGTGATGTTCCCACTTGGTCGGTGATGCTCCTCAATGTTCAGAGAAGCATCCTTGGGACTCGTGAAAATTTTCAGAGGAGCAAGGCATTGTAAACAGAGGCAACAGTGGCATGGTACGGGTTTCCGGGCGAGAAGAGTCAAGCATGCACCATTTGCGCATTCCGAGGCAGGGCTGCGGCCATCTTCCTTCTATATTTAATTCGTTAATTAATTAGAAGTTCTGTAATAATTAATTTAACAGTATTCATTTGGTTGTGTAATATTATTCGGACCCTCTGAGCGAGGGTAATTGTGTAATAAGTGTGCGTGAGTGTGTGTATGCCTTCCAACCCCACGTCTTTCTTTCCTTTTATGTACTAGCTTTCGATGGTTAGTTTAGGGCATGTTTCAATTAGCATACTTATGATAGCATGTTTGCATACATTCATTCGTTTTGCATGCATCGAGCTCGGCGCATCAGACTAACTGCATTTGTATTTCAATCCCAAATTGAATGCGTGTTAGCTGTAGCATTTCACATGTCATTTTAGAATAGCCGAGCCTATTGTAGTTGCATTCCTGCATGTGTTACATTAGGCATTTCTGTATAATTAGGACCATGCATGGATTTCTAACATAGCTTTTGTTTTGGCTTGGAGTACTCTGTATGTCTTTTCGCTTTAGCATCCTTGCATGCGTGTAAGTGGTGCCATGACAGCATGCTTACCATGAGGCTATTTGCTTATATGATATAACTGTTTGGATGCCTGTGGGTGGAGGTTGAATTACCTGAATTGGAATAATGCATTAAAACTGTGAGTTTTAAGCCCACTAGATAGTGGCAAAACCATGTTTTCTAAGCCCACCGGCAAAATCTGCATTTTAGCCTACTTACGAGTAGCAGACTGTTTTCAAAACAAACATGAAATGTTTTGTTCCAATTCAGGCGATCCAGTCTATACTTTTGTGCTGTGTGCATCATATAGTAAATCTAGGCTAATAACCGGAATAAGAGCGCATAATGTTTTCAAAATAAGATACCTTGGTTAGTAAAGGCCGATCTTCGGATCGGACGAGAGGGGGTGCTCATAGCTGACCTTCCCCAATCGTACCCAAGTTCTCGAGCCGAGGCAACTCTGGTGATGACGGGTACGTGGCCTTAGGCAAACGAGTCAGGGTTTCCTAAATTTCCTCGAAATAAAATATTTAGGTGGCGACTCTGTATCTGGCAAAGCAGTCCATGTTTGGCACTTCTTTCTAAAAATCTGTTTCTCAAAATGATTTGCCGGATTTGTACTCTTTGGTTCAGATTAAGAACTGTGACAATTTGAGAGTCCGAACTGTAGTGACCCCAATATGAACAAAACGGCGGGGGAGGGGGGGGGAGAGGGATCTCCCTCCCGGGGCGTTCGGGGACGTCTACAACTGCATGTGTGTTAATGTTTCCATGAAAGCATGCTTGCCATGTGGCTATTTGCTTATGTGATATAACTGCCTAAATACCTGTGGGTGAAGGTTGGATTACTTGAATTGGGACAATTCATTGAAATCCGCATTTTAGCCTACTTGCGAGTAATAAACTTCAAACCATTTTCCAAACACACGGATATGCAATGCTTTGTTCCAAATTAGGCGATCTAGTCTATACTTGTTTTGCTGTGCGCATCACATAGTAATTCTAGCTAATTAACCAGAATAAGAACGCATGTGTTTTCAAAAACTCGATATCATGCTTAGCACAGGCCGATCTTTGATCGGGTGAGCGGGGGTGCTCATTAAATGACCTTCCCCAATCGTACCCAAGTTCCCGATTCGAGGCAACTTTGGTGATGACGAACACGTGGCCTTAGGCACGAGTCAGGGTTTCCTAAATTGCCTCCAAAATAAAATATTTAGGTGGCGACTCTGTACCTGGCAAAGCAGTCTATGTTTGGCACTTCTTTACAAAAATCGGTTTTCCAAAACGGTTTGCCGGATTTGGACTCTTTGGTGATTTATCGGTCTCACATCGCACATTGTGAGATTAGATTCAGAACCGTGGCATTTGAGTCCGAACTGTAGCAGCAAAGCCTAATTTCGGGCGCGTTTACAAAATGCTGCGAACCAAATTTTCCAAAGTCCTATTAGTCACCTCTGTTTGACCATCTGTTTGAGGATGCACGGTTGAACTACGATTCAAGGTTGTGTTAAATATCTTCCTCAAAGTCACCCAAAAGTGGCTAAGGAACTTGACATCACGATCTATGGTAATGGATTGAGGAACTCCATGCAAACGAACTGCTTCTCAAAAGAATAATCGAGCCACATAAGAGGCGTCTGAAGTCTTTCAACAAGGAATAAAATGTGCCATCTTTGAAAACATGTCAACCACTACGAACACAAAATCAACTCCACGTTGGGTACAAGGGAGTCCCAACACAAATTCCATCAACAAGTCTTCCCAAATGTTGTTAGGAACATATAGAGGCATATAGATGCCAGTATTCTGAGACTGCTCTTTGGATACCTGACAAATGTAACACTTCCTCACAAAATTGCCAATATCTCGCTTCAATTGAGGCCAAAAATATCATTCTTCCATACTTGCAATAATCATGTCCCTGCCCAAATGTCTACTTAAGCCACTACTATGGAGATCCTGAATTAGTTTCTCTCGTAAGAGGTACGGGGAATGCACAAGTGATTTCCTCAAAATAGATGGGCATCAGTGATGTGGAAATTAGTGACTAGTTGCCTTTGAATACACTTCGCCCATATCTCCTTGAAGTCATCATCATCTAGATAAAGGTCTTTCAGGAACTCAAAACCCACAATCTCATGTGTCAACGTGACTAATAAACTAGCCCCTCGACTCAAGGCATCCGCAACTTGATTCAGAACTCCTGATTTGTGGTGAATAGGAAAAGGAAACTTCTGAAGGAAATTAGACCATCTTACATGCATGTTATCCAGGTGCTTCTGGCTATTGATAAACTTTAAGGCTTGATGATCAGTATACAACACAAACTCTCTCCTTATCAGGTAATGCTCCCAATACTTCAAAGCTCAAACCACTGCCTAAAATTCTTCGTCATAAGAGCTCCACTTTTGCTGAGCTTCACTTAATTTTTTGCTAAAAAATGCCATTGGTTTATGTTCTTGAGATAGGACAGCCCCGATGCACACACCACTAGCATCACACTCTATCTCAAAGATCCTCTCAAAACTGAGCAAAGCTAATCATCACCCAATAGGAATTTTCTTTTCTTCATGTACTCTGTGATTAGTGCCACAATAATGCTGAAACTTCGAATGAAACACCCATAAAATGTAGTCAACCCATGGAAACTCCGAACATCACCAACAGTCTTGGGTGTTGGCCACTCTTGGATGGCTCAGACCTTCTCTTGATCCACATGAATGCCATCTAAACTAACTACATAACCAAGAACAACAAGCTATTCGTGAGTAAACTGCACTTCTTAAGGTTAACATACAACTTGTTTACCTCCAACGCTGTCAACGCCTCCCGTAAATGGTCCATGTGGTTCTTCTCTGATTTACTGTAGATTAAGATGTCATCAAAATAAACAACAACAAATTTCCCAGTGAAAGGTCGTAATACCTAATGCATAACTTGCATATAGGTGATAGGAGCATTGGAAAAGGCCGAATGGCATGACCAACCATTCATACAAACCATCCTTAGTCTTGAACACTGTTTTCCATTCATCCCCAAGACGGATTCGAATTTGATGGTACCCACTTCGTAGATCGATCTTTGAGAACCACTTTGATCCTTCCAGCATGTCCAGCATATCATCTTGTCAGGGAATGGGAAATCTCTACTTAATGGTAATCTTGTTAATGGCTCGGCTGTCTACACACATTCGCTAGCTTCTATATTTCTTTGGCATTAATAATGCCAAAACAACACATAGACTTAGGCTTTCACGAATAAGTCCCTTTCGCAACAATTCTTCGACTTTCTTCTGCAGGATCTCACTCTCTTTTGGACTTATTCTATAGTGTGGTAGGTTTGGTAAACTTGCTCTTGATATGAAATCAGTCTGATGCTGAATGTTCCTCGTAGGTGGAAGTTCATACGGCAACTCATCAATAGTAAGCTCCTGGAATTCCTCTAACAATGGTTGAATTTTCTGAGGGATTGGTGTGACTATGTTCTATTTGGCTGCAAGTACCATTATTTTCACATCCATAGCATATATCTCTTCCGAAGTTTTCGCATTTGCCACAAACTCGGCCTCTAAACTGGTTATAGTGAGGAAATACTTCGCTTCAACTTTCAAAGGCACTGTGTTTTGCTTTATGGGACTTATAGCAATTTTATGAGACCCCAAATTGAGCACCTAAGTGTTGTCTCGCCCTCCAAATGTAACATCCACATCAAATTGCCAAGGTCTACCAAGTAATACATGACTAGCATCCATATCAACCACATCACATAATACATCGAATTTATAATTTTTGCCAATAGAAATAGGTACATTACATACTTCAATTATCTTGACAGCAGGTCCCTTTTTTATCCAGCCAATACTATAGGGAGAAGGGTGTGGTTCAGGAGACAACTTCAGGTACACTACCAATCGTCTAGCCACAAAATTTTGACATCTTCCACTATCCACAATAAGGTCACACACCTTTTGATTTATGGTACAACAAGAGCAAAAAATACTATGACGTTGAATGAGGTCCTCAATTTTTGGTGCAAATAAAAACCTTTGATCTACATAGTTACTCGTTCTCCCTCTTCTCCGGTGAATTATGCACCATCATATTGATCACCCTCATATTCTGCGTCATCATCATCTTTAATTTCATTTTCTTCTTCAACTAAATTAACAGTCCTTCTTTCGGGGCACACATTACAGCGATGGCTAGGCTTGTCACATCTATAACACTTATCCGTTGTTGGTTTGGTATAAGGATTTGTATTTCAAGGTGTCTCCTTGCTACTTGATCCAGTCATTTGGTTTCCTCATCCAACAGCGATACTCCTTTGTTGATTTACTGGAACTATTGGTTAGGCAGCCCTTTTCCTTTTCCTGTAGTAAGAAATGAAGAATGAAGAAGGTTCCAACGATATCCAGAATAGATTGTCTTGCGCTCCATTAGCTTGGCTTTGAAAGCCATATTATTTGCTTCATCCGCAGTCCACACTACTGATAACCCCATCTTCTCTTGAATGGTTAATATTAACCCATTGAGGTACCGGGTTACACACTGTCCTTCGGTCTCATTCAGATTATTGCGATCTGAAAGTCAATAAAATTCAGTTGTATAATCAAATACAGATCGGCTTCCTTGGTTGCAATTTTGGTACAACTGAAACAAGTATTGATCATAATTTGGTGGTAAAAATCTATCATGAATGAGTTGTTTCATCGACCCCAAGTCCATACAAATTATTTCCCTTGTCGATGCCTATTTTTCTACAATTGATCCCACCATACGCATTACCTCCTTTTAGTTTGTACGCCACCAATTTCACCATCTTTGATTTTAGAGCATCCAACATCTCGAAAAATCACTCCATCTCTAAAAGCCAATCAAGAAAATCCTCAATATGTAGATTTCCATTGAACTGGGAAAAATCTATCTTCATTTGGTACTCATCGAACCAAGGTTTTAAAAAGCAGCCGCAACCTTTACGTAACGCCGTTACGTAACGGTTTTGGTGGTTACCGCCACCTGTTATGGCCACTTTTGCAGTGTGATTGAGATTCACAAGTGTGTCGGCCATAGCGGTTGCCATAGCGGTCGTAACGGTGCCGTAACAGCCATAACAGTCTGTTACGCACCGTTACGTAACAGTTTCGAACTGTTTCTTTCGAAAAAACACACAAAAAAAAAGTTGAAAATGGGGGGAAGAGGAATTGAGAGAAGAGGGAAGATAAAGAGAGAAGATGAATGAGTAAAAGATAGAGAGAGAGAGAAGAGGGAAGATGAACATGTTACTAATTTATTGAAGTTATAAGACCTATGCTATTCTATTCAGCTGCTATCACTCAATCATTTTGTTTGTGTGCGTCTGTCTATATATTGTTCGAAAATAACAATAATAATAATAATAATAATAATAATAATAATAATAATAATAATAATAATAATAATAATAATAATAATAATAATAATAATAATAATAATAATAATAATAATAATAATAATAATAATAATAATAATAATAATAATAATAATAATAATAATAATAATAATAATAATAATAATAATAATAATAATAATAATAATAATAATAATAATAATAATAATAATAATAATAATAATAATAATAATTGATTTAAAAATATGAAATATATTGGATCATACTTAAAAATTTACAAAAATTGATCAATATTTATTTTAAACCTAATAAATATGACTATGGAAAAAAAATATGCGTATCGGTAAGTTTTTTTCGAATTGTGCGAAAAATAAAAAAATTCACGATTCCGGTTACCACAACCGTTACGCTACGGCCTTCACATCCCGTAACCGCAACCGCTTTTCAGAACCTTGCATCGAACCCTTGTTGTTGTTGCCTTATGGGTTTATAGTTGGCTGGAAATGGTTCAAACTTTGGTTCAGACTCTTCCTCACTGTCAGATGGACAACGAAAGGGATGTCTAGGAGCATTCTAAACAGGTAAACCTTGGGCATATCCTCCGGTGCGCACTCTGTTCTGGTTAACAGGTTGGCCTTGGGAAACTCCCTTAACACGGACCCTATTAACCACTGGTGGCCTGTTGTTGGCATTGAGATTGAGGCCAATAAGCAAATCACGAATTTCGTTCAACTGCTCTTGCTGTTTCTCATATGCTACCCATAGGGCCACGACCCCATGATCACCACCAGTAGGGTTTGCATGATCTACTCTATCTTGTGCCATTGAGCCAAGTGACTCGTTGCTTTGATACCACTTGATGCAACAAAATAAATCACACCAGGCTAGATATTGTTCTAGTAGACGAACAAAATCCTTAAATCCATAAGCAAGGTTTTTTTTTTTTTTTCAAGAACAAAATTATATTGCATCAAAAAAAAAATGATTTGCCCTAATGCATACATATGTATTTATAATAAACTGAACCTTAATTAAATAAGGAAACAATGATAATTCCTTGCTAGACACAAAAATAAACATAAAATTACCAAAAATAGAAAATATGAGTTAAGCCCAAATCTGCGTACTAGGAAACAATATTAGAAACAACATTTGATGTAGCTAAATAAATCACATGAGGCTAGATATCGTTCTAGTCAACATACAAAATCCTTGAATCCACAAGGAAGAAAAAAAAAATTCAAGAACTGAATTATATTACATCAAAAAAGATGATTTGCCCTAAGGCATACATGCATATTTATAATAAACTGAACCCTAATTAAATAAGGAAACAAGGAATTAGGTTAATTCCTTGCAAGACATGAAAATAAATAGAAAATTACCAAAAATAGAAAATATGAGTTGAGCCCAAATCTACATACTAGGAAATAATAGAAACGCGCCAAAACAGATGGCGCTAAAAAATCACCTTCCCAAAATAAAGTTATTCCCAAAACGAAACTTTCCTAAAATGGAAAAATCGCTAATTTGAAGGCCTAAACGAAGAAATTTAGCTAAAATCCACCGTTCATAATTACCGAGAACGACGATGACCTCGATTTAAAATGCCATTTCCAATCAGATTACCAAATTTGAGATAATTCCGAGCTTGTCCCAAAAGTGTCACTATTGCTCTTAATTTGGTTTCTTTCTTGCCTTTTGGCGGTCCAATTGTTCCAAAAAGGCTTCGGCTACTTGTTCTACATCACAATGTCTCAGTTTTTTTCATACAAATGTAATATATAAAAATGGGTATGTTTCATTGTAGTCAATCAGAAGTTTTATTTTCCTAATCTATAATATATATATATATATATTTTTCTTTTCTTTTATGGTTAGATCCTATGAAGCGTGCGCAAGTGAATTGGAGTAGGCGCCTAAATATCATCAATGGAATTGCAAGGGGAATGTTATATCTTCATGAGGATTCTCAGCTTAGAATCATTCATAGGGACCTAAAACCAAACAATGTGTTACTAGATATTGAATTAAACCCAAAGATCTCAGATTTTGGAATGGCAAGGATCTTCGAAGAAAGTGATGGTGCAACTAACATTGCTAAGATTCTTGGAACATAGTGAGTTCACTGTTTGTTTTTCTATCATTTTTTTTTTCAAAACCAATCTATGTTAAACAATTAAGTAGGTAGCTTCATTAATCACATGAGTTCACGTATTGAATATATTTCCAATCCTTTCTCTTGTTGGATAGTGGTTACATGGCTCCAGAGTTTGCAATGGAAGGATTATATTCCATCAAGTTTGATGTTTTTAGTTTTGGTGTCCTTTTGATTGAGATCATAATTGGAAGGAGGAATGCTAATTTCCATCTCACTAAGTGCACTCATAGCCTTATAGCATATGTAAGTGTATGTGGCTTGAGTTAGACTTACTTCTCAAAATTAATAGCCGTGTTACAAGTTTTGCTTGAATAAGTATATTTGGCTCGGTGATGCTACAAGTATGGCAATTATGTAATGAAGGGAAAGGGTTGGAATTGATTGATCCATTATTGACGAAGTCTTGTGATCTTGATGAGTTCTTAAGGTACATGCATATTGGTTTATTGTATGTTCAAGAAGATGCATATGACAGGCCTAATATGTCATCGATTATGGTTATGTTAAGAAGTGAAGTTTTAACTCTTAGCCAACCCGAACGATATGCCTTCTCTGTGGGGAGATTCACTGATCATTATGAACCAAATGATAAAGAATATTCTGTTAATGAATCAACAATTTAAGATATTATGCCTCGGTGATCGATTATGCCAAGTTGAGTAATGGTTTCTATTCGGATAAATTGCCATTAGTCCCTGCAATTTACATAAAGTACCACTTTAGTTTCTGTGGTTTCAATTTGAACAATTTAAACCCTATACTTTTAGTTCTGTTGCAATGTGGTCCCTTCTTGTCACGACCCGAACCTGCCCCTATGGGTTAAGGCCGTAACCGGCCAGTAATCATGAGATTACCTATGGCCTCAAAACAAATAAGACAAAACTCATCAGAGTAAAAGGGGCCGAACAGAAGCAATTTAAAACTTTGTCCATAGAACTGTGCTTACATGCACGTCATAACATTCCAGACATAAATATATTAATAACTCACAACAAAATTACAGTACCAAAAAGTTTCATACAACAGGATCATCCAAAACCAAGTCAACCCATGGGAACTATGTACAGACATGTACAAAGGCTTCGCCAACATGACAAAATTACATAGAATGGCAAAAGGCCGAAGATGTCTCTCGTACGTAAGACGCAAAGGCTGACTCTTCAAACCTTAGTTGTTCCACACTGGCTTCACTGAGGCGGGGTCTGGACCTCTCTTAGCTCACCTACAAACAATGAATGAACGTGAGCGATAGCCCAGTAAATAATATCAAATAATGAATATGCATTGGAACAATATACATCGAACGACCTTGGGCCCAATTTGCATTTCTAACTAACACATAGATAAATAAACATATGTCAGTTAAGTAACTGAGGTTCCAAGCACATCATACGGCCTCGGGCCCAATTCATTCGTATTATTCAGATCAAACTGGCCTTTGGCCCATTTGTTTATGTCAAAACGGCCTCTGGCCCATTCATTCATGTCCATCGGCCTTTGGCCCAATCGTTTATGTCAATCGGCCTTCAGCCCACATTTATGTCAAACGGCCTTCGGCCCATATTTATATCAAACGGCCTTGGGCTCATATTTATATCAAACGGCCTTCGGCCCACATTTATATCAAACTGGCTCATAGGCCTTTCATATCAAACTCGCTCATAGGCCTTTTATTTCAAACTGGCTCATAGGCCTTTCATATCAAACTGGCTCATAGGCCTTCCATATCAAACTGGCTCATAGGCCTTTCATATCAAACTGGCTCACAGGCCTTTCATAACAAACTGGCTCATAGGCCTTCCATATCAAACTGGCTCATAGGCCTTTCATAATAAACTGGCATTTAAGCCTTTCAAACTTATCGTATCAAACTGTGTTCACCATTCAAAATTAATGAACTTTACAGAACTTACATAGAAGTGAGCAATTGGATAACAACATATTTCAGATATTACTCACAGTGATCGGCTTGTGAATTTGCCCTAGAGCTTGACCCTACACATCACATAGCACATATGGGTCACAAATAATTCAATCCCTTCTTTAATTCACATATTCCTCTTTAGGCTTCATTCTTATCTCTTTAATTCAATCACAATGCTCAATGTATGCCTAAGAGTGCTTAGAAGTGAAAAGGAACGGAAAAATAGAACACATAATGCATTGTCAAAGTTTCAGAAAACAGGGTCCCCGCTCGAGCGTGGACTTCCCCGCTCGAGCGGAACCTTAAGGCCTACAAAAGTACTGGTTGCATGAAAAATACGCTCGAGTGTGTAATAGGACGCTCGAGCGGAAGGCCTGTCTAAATAGCTCCCCCCGCTCGAGCGTTGCCTCCCCCGCTCGAGCGGACACCAAGTCTGCAAAAAGTACTGGGAGCACGTTTTTCCCGCTCAAGCGGCCATTACCCCGCTCGAGCGGACATCAAAATTCTGGATTTTCCAGATTGTGTTCTTGAGTCCAACTCCGACATTGAACCAATGTTTCTTGCATACTATGGCTCCAATTTCACATATTCTTGTATTAACATAGTATAAACACCAAAACACATCATCACGGGGCTCAATTTCATAAATCAAGCACATGCATGGCTCAATTTAATTCAAGTTCAATTCTATCATATGCATTCATGCATTCAAAGCTCCTATCTTTAATTATTCAAACATGCATGTTAATCGTGACTTCATTTCTATTCCAATTGATGCAAATGGTGTTCATTCTCATGGAACACAACAAAAACATGCTAGATTATGTAATTTCATAGGAATTCTCTACATGCATGCACATATAGACTTCAAATTCATCAAAACCAACTCATCCCACGTTCTTGATCACTATTTAGTCTTTAATTCACAAAATTACAACTCAAACCCATAAATTAAGGGTTAATAACTCACCTAAGAGCTTTAATCTCCCAAACTAGGATCAATTCTTGAGTGTAGCTTCAAACTTCCAAGCCTTCAAGACCAAATTTTGATTTATCTCCCCTCTCTCCCTCTAATTTCGGGTCTCTCTCTCTCTAGAGAGTTGATTTCAGCCAAAGATAAAATAAAAGAGGGAATGGCACATATAATGGTCCCATATATAAGCCCACTAAGCCTCATTAATTTAATATAAACAATTGGGCACTTAATTCATTAACTTCATCTGATTAATTTGATCCAAATCAATTTCTAATTAAATTTCACCATAGGCTCTAAAAATTATACCAATCACAATGGCGTAATCAATTTCGGGTTTCGTGGCCGATAAGGCCTTCAATTTAAGTTCCGAAGCAGATAAACAAACAGATATTCCTACGGTGAACAGATAGAAATTCAAAATCACACATAATGGCACACAAAATCATATTAAACACATAATCATACTCATATTAAGGACCAATTAACATATTACGAAACAGGGGTCACTGCTAGAAAATGAACTTTTAGCGGCGTTTTAAAAACGCCGCTATAGGTAGTCAAAGCGTCGCTAATTCTTTTTGTGACGTTTAGTACCAAACGCCGAGGACGCGGCCGTCGCTATAGCTTTATGGCGTTTGGAAAACGTCGTTATATTAGTATAGGCGGCGTTTGTAAAAACGCCGCCAAATGTCCTGCCCTATTTATGTTGTGGCGTCACTATGACATTTAACGACGTTTTGGAAACGCCGTTAAAAGCATTTATACATTTTAAAAATCTATCCGTTGGGGTAGGGATATAGTGACTTTTAAAAACGCCGCCATAGCCTTTATTTTTATTTTTTTTATTATAAAAATTGTGCTAATTTTATATGGATGAAAAAAATACCTGTCATAAACAATTATTAAGAACTAATAATTGATGTTTATCAAAATAATAAATAAACTAAATTTGAAAGCAAAATTAAAAATAAAAAACAATGCAATAAGATGTGATAAATGTACAATTACAAAATATATTAGAAATCCGTGAGGATTTATTTACAAAGTCAGGCTTGAGAACTCGTGCAGAAAGCAGAGAAGACAACCATACTCCTAATGACACAATACTGATAGTAGCAAAAGCTAAACAAAAATTTCTTTCTGAACGAGGCAAACTTTGCCAATCTGTCCTCCTGCAAAAAGTCACAGCCAGGACCAAATTAGAAAGGTTAATATCAGTACAATAGATTGACACATTAGATTAGAATGGAAAACATTAGATTAAATTAACTTAATGCATACAAGTGCATACCCCAAATCAACAATGATGATGCTGACATTATCTTGTGAACATCGGTCCTGTAATATAGATAAATTCAATTAATCACCCATAAAAAATTCAATTAATCAAATCAATATAAATGAGCCAAAAAGCCACAACCAAGTTAAAAGAGTGAAAAGTTTAGTGGCAGTACCATATTCTCATTGAAGCACAATATTGAAGCTACATTACCACGGCGATAACAATAATTTGGAGCAGACCATACCTGATAAGCCAAGAAGCACACAGTAAAATTAATTAAAATATCACCAAATCTGAAACAGAGACTCGAGTCCTCCTATCAAGTATAAAAAGAAAAAGCAAACTATTTACCAGTTATCGATCTTTACATGCATGACGAGAGAATTGTAAGTGTTGACCCAAAATGCAATCTTGGCATTGGTTTCCATCTGTGCCACATTCACCTTTTCCAGTTGTTCCACAAGAACTCTGATATAGAAAAGAAGAAATAAATATTAACAACCTTTGCATCCAAACAGTATGCCATAATCATAAGAGTCTCTCTTTTGGGGTCCGGTAGGGAGGAAGTTGGGGTTTAGAACCATCTGGACTGGTCTACTCAACTCAAAAAGCTTTGATCACAACCTCTTAATATCAACTACAAGGGATCATCTTTGTCCCCATGCTCTATGTAAATCCATTTACATAATTAAATCCAAATCATATCCTTTTTCATAGCCTCAACCTAAGTTTTTTTGGCCTTCCTCTTGATCTTTCAATAAATTCAACCTATGTTCATCTGACCTGAACTGCAAACTATGTTCATTTTTCAATAAATTCAATCTGTGTTCCTATAATAAAATCATCTGACCTGAACTGGAACCAGGATTAGCATGAAACCTCCCACGGATTGGATCAGATCTGATTTGCACCCTAAGAACTTACAAGTTCAAAACCCTAGGCAATCTAAAGATTCTTCTTTTTACTTCCAGAGCTGCAGGAATTTGTTTGGGAATGGACCGTTCGAAGCCTGGATTTGGACTCAAATGGTATTTATAGTTTAAACATGAGGAAAACGGGAGGGTTTTGTTAAGTCACCAAACAGAAGAAAGAATGCCAAACGGGACCAAATGCAAATGGAGAGACTTGAACCCAAGACCTCCCCCCAACCTAGGCTCTAATACCATGTTAAATCACCAATTAAGCAATTAGCAAATGGGCCCAACAATGTATATCAAGCTATTCAACAGGTTTCAAGTGAACCTTGATTCAATTCACACCCTATTGGACATTTTAAATTCCTCCACACATGGGGAAAGAGAAAATCAACACTGTTGAATTCCTTTTTTTGTTCCCCACCTTTTTGCACCACTTTTTAATAAGGAAGGGTACCTGTAGTTGTTAATGGCATAAGATGCACGAGAGAAGTGGTTCTTATCAGTTGATATTGAAGATATTTCAACCATGGATTTGCAAGACCAGTCCCTATCCTCACTGATACCACTTCGTTTTAATGTTGTTGGATTTGCAGAGACTGAACTACCAAGCCAGCAGTAGACAGCAGCCATACACCTAACCATTTCCTCAGACAACTTGCTTGGGCACTGGTGGAGATGATCTTTCAGGCTTCGCAGCACTGAAGTTTTGTTCATAGTTGGAAGCATTTCTTGAACCTAATGCAAATAATTGAGATTACAGATAGAAAAACAAGAAGTCACTAGTATTTTGACACTTAAGGAAATTCATTCTGATTTGTTTGCCCACAACATTCAATGACAGATTAATCTAATAGCATGGAGTTGTTAACAAAAGAATAACAAACAGTTGCAAGATATGGAGTCATCAAATCATCATAAAGATGGTAATAACTAGATTGGTTGCACCAGCAAGACACTCTCGATCTGATGCTCTACATTTTTTGAAAATGGAACAACAAAGCTAAGGTACATTATGCACACATAACAACAAGAACAACATATAGAAGGCTGAAGCTGTTACAGTCATCAAAAGAAAATGGAAATGCTGGAACCACTCAGAGGAGAAGAGGAGAGGGACTTCAATTCCAGCTCTAGTGTTGAGAAATTGTAAAGGAACAGTGGTCTGTTTTCAAGAGGCTAAGATTGAAGTTATTAGCTGGGAGGTGAGGAAACAACTTGTATTGGTTAAATTTAATACATTAGCAGAAACATGAAGCCATCATACAAGACATGTCACAAAAAAGTATAGATTCAAGATTAAACAATTTATACAAAGAAAAGAGTGTTATTGTAAGAGATGCACAACAGTTCGGAGAAATGCTTGGAGGCAAATATATATCTCAACTACGACCAAGATGTATACTAAATATTCAGGAAGAAATATCGTACCTTACCGGGGTTGGACCGAGTCTTCTCAAAATGATTGTTGGATTTGCCAGTAAGCAACGGAGCATGTCGTGCCCTAGATTGCGATGGTAAAGTTCTTTTCCCCGAGTCATTTATAGAAGTCAGAGCTTGGAAAGGTCGAAGAGGGAACTTCTTTGCGGAACAAAAAGCACTTGAAATTATACTTGGGTGTTTCCTAGATTCATTCTTCGTATGGGCTGGTGAAGTCATGCCAGAGTTTTTCCCAGAAGTAGGCCGACTAACACATTGTTCAAAAATGCTCCTATAGAGAGAGAGAACATGCTGCTCACGATTTGCAACCTCTTCTTCCAGAAGCTCAATCTCCACTATTAGTTCTTTAGTCTAAAATGAACCAGAATGCAGGGTTACTTTCCGCTAGACTTGCCACATTTGTAGCTCAAAATGAAAATTAAAAAGCGACATTGCAAGACAAAATGAAAATAAAAAATACACATTGCAAAATTCTATGAGCATATAAAATAAAAATAATTAATCAATGCCCTTATGATAATTGGACTATGCATAGCTAGAAGATTTATTATGGATATTGATTCATATGTGATCTGATCTTCACCGGGTTGCCAGACAGGAAAACTAATCCTTAAATTGGAAATATCAATGGCATTAGATATATAGGCATTATATATGTGTTGAGTATGCATAATGGTCAGGATTCACACCACTCAATAGTGCTGAATATTTTGTAAAGGTGACCAAAGCGACCTTAATTCCTGGTTCACAGCATCTGGATGCTAATAAAAAATTTCAGCATTTTTTGCATGGTTTTAATTAATATTTGATATTTCAAATAGCAGAATGGTTGCTCTAGATTCGTTTTTCCAGAAGATCTAAAAAATTTGAGGTCTCTAACTCCAGTTACCTGTGCAGCAAAATGCCTGTGTCCAGGAGATAAAGTACTAGAAGCACGACCCATTGCCCTTTCAAGCATCATCCGCATAGATTTCTCTTGCTGCAAATGTAATTGCAGCTGCTCAATCTGCAAATCAATACATCATTTGTGAAAGAAAGTTGATACATGGAGATTATCAAAACATGAAACTGATGTGTAACTGCAGATTAATGCCGTAGGCAAAACTCAGTCTATGATAATGTGCTCAACAAGCTCAGTGTTTTGTCATCGATGACAAGAAAGTTCAAGAGATTTTGAGAAGATCATATCATATCCATTAATGTTATGTGGAGCCAGTCAATCTATATAGATTGCTTCACAATATGATTCACAGCCATTATACCCACTCTGTATACATAAAACCATATTGTATCAAATATTTTCAAAAATAGATCCAGCCAAAACTTCAAGTATGGAGCTCCAAGGGACCAAACAGGAAAGGATACAACACAAATTCATGTAAGCCTGCATCTAAAAATTCATGAAAGGAAGACATCAAAAGCTTACATCTTTTTCCAACGAGTCCCAATGTCTTGATGTAGTAGCAGTGTTAATGTTGATGGAGTATCCGTGACGAGGACTTCGTGCTCCACAAGTCACGATAGTCATTATGACAAAAAAAAAAAAAAAATGTTTTGATAGATGTACAAACCTCTCCACCTGGAAGACGAAGGTGTTCAGACCATAGCGTAACGTGAAGACTCGAATAAAATTTTCCTGCCTTCCAAGGCTTTCCTCTCATACATGAATCCACAAATTCTTTGTCTTCAATAAGTACACCAATCTGAATCAACAGCATTTTTGTTAACAACTAAGAGAACTACTACAAAAAAGTGGTGGAGATTTGTACATTAAAATGGAAGGGCATATCATAATAGATGTGTAGTTTGACAAGAAGAAGTTGGAGTTGCTAGTAATATGATTGGTTGTGACTAAACGGAGAAACAATTCAAGAAGTCAGCAATAACAACAAAATTCCGTGTGTTAAGAACAGCATCTGAAAGTAAAGTAGTACCTTCAAAGTCAATTAAACCCTAACAATGTGGGAAGACAAGTCAATCTGCATCAATTATCAACATATTAGTGTGACATTCAGAAACACCAAGCATGTGCTTTAACTTCATAGTGAAAGCTAATGAACAGAAATGGACAATTCATTGAAACACTAATCAGCTAAATACCAGCGTAGGGTCAATAATTTCCTTGTGATCAATTAATAATAGGTGTCACCAATAAAATTTAGTTAATATAAAGAAGTATACAAACTATGTTACATATATACCTACATAAGGTTTAGAACAGTAAACATATGACAATAAAATCTAAGGGCCTGCTTAGTTGTCCCATCAAATGTGCATATTTTATCTTTAAACCAGTAAAAGAGAAATCCATTGCGAAAAAAGAAAAGAAAAAAGAAGTGGCAGCATGATACCCAACCTTCTATTGATATTTCATCAAATTAAAAGGCAATGCATATGGCCATAACATGATACCCAACCTTAAGTACTTAGTACATTGCAGAATCCAAAAAGGCCGCAAAGCACCCTATTTATGAGGTGTCGAATTGCTATTTTAAGCTTTTCTTCAGGTGTATATCTTGGCAGTTCAATGACTTCCATCCTATCGAATAGTGGTGGAGGAATAGGTTGCACCCTATTTGCAATCGCCACAAAAACAATCTTTGAAAGTTCAAATCGAACATTTAAATAGCTAGTAACTTCAATTAAGTAATCATTATGGATATGTTACGATTGTACTGTAATGAGTACTTCATTCATTGAACATTCACTCGCATTCTTGATTCAATTTAAAATATCTATGAAATCTATAAAAGGAGTACTAGAACATATTGAGATTGATTTTGACATAACAAGAACTTGACATATTCTACTCGTTTGCTTGTGGATAGGCTGAGAAAAGCACTAACCCATTTATTTAATTGTGTTAAAAACCTCACCAAAAGAGAGAAAGAGCAAGTCAATCTATCAAAAACTGGCACTACAAAGCTATGGCAGGAGTTTGAGACTAATACAAGAGGAAAATCATCAGATGAAATTACCTCCATGATAGTGTCAGCACCAAAGTCTTTCCTCCATTGAAGCATCTCAGCCCAATGTGCTTTGTTTTCTTAATATCAAACTTCCTCCCTTTCAAGAATCTGCATGGAAATTGACATCACAAAATAATGTTTCTCAACCTTGCAAAATAATGTTTTCCGTAAGAGAGAAGATTATGACATCACAAAAGACTAACCTATCAGGAGTAAGCATGAACCTGGGGTGGAGGGGGCATACCCTGACAAAATAGAGGAAGAAGCTTGATTGGATACCCAACAAGAAGCCAGATTAGAGCAGTTTTTGGTAACCATCCAGCGATTTTTAGTGTTTTGGGTATAGCTTAGATACTTTCTCACAGAGGTGCCCCACAGATGATGAGTTCTTATATATATTTATTTTCCTCAATCCTGCAATTTTGAGTTATGCATCATGCAACAAAAAGAATGATTTATGAGTTAAGCATCATGCTTGTAAAATGTTCTTCAGGGAGAAAAATGGCAAGATGGGAGCTAGTGTTCCAACAAAGCACTCATAGTTCTAAAGAATAACAGACCCAAAATATCTACAATTTTGTTAAAGATACTCACTTGCAAGTATATTGCTGATGCAAGCTTCCTGAAGTCATCATGAGCTATTGCTTCAAGAGTTGAAACCCCAAATATACGCTGGAAATTACACAAAAGGAGGGAAAAATATGTCTCAAGACCAAGCATAACACTGATAGATCAGTGAAAAGAAGAATCATTCAGACTTCAGTCTAGAAGTAAATAATAAAAATTGCATACAGGAACAGTGAAGGCGCCTCAATTTGGAATGCATTTTCAAAATTTCACAAGATCAGGCACACTTCAAAATTTTGGATTTATCAATTACATAGAGCCTAAAATAAAATGCAAATAACAAGCATATAAACATCATACATTCTTGAAAATGTCTCATTAATGAAAACTGTATATCAATATTTAGCAAATCTAAACTACTATGTAAGGTAAACCTATATTTAATCAGAACAAGTATTTTAATTAATAAGATATTGTATTGTCAAAAAAGCTTTGATTAAATGATTGCTCACCTTTTGGGATGTAATGTCTAATTATACCTCCACTCGAACTACTGAGAAAGGCTTTCGGCCAGTTCTATGATGTAGTGTCTTCTTCTTCCGGATTTTTCTATTCTTCTTGCTTGATTTCTGTTAAATATGAAATCCATTTGAGATATTATCAAAAATTATCATATAAACATTTTTTCACATAAATAAATTGTAATGCACTCTGAGTGCCCACGCAAGGGCTGACTCTTCAAAACCTTTGTTGTTCCACACGGACTTCACTGTGGCTGGGTTTGGACTCCTCTTGGCTCGCCTACAAACACATGAATGGGCGTGAGCGATAGCCTAGTGAATAATATCAAACAAAGAATATACATTGGAACAATATACATCAAATGGCCTTGGGCCCAATTTGCATTTCTAACTAATACGTACATACATAAACATATGTAAGTTAAGTAAATGAGGTTCCAAACACATCATACGGCCTCGGGCCCAATTCATTCATGTCCATCGGCCTTCGACCCACATTTATTATCAAACGGCCTCCGGCCCATATGCACTTTCATGTCAAACGGCTTATAGGACTTTCGTGTCAAACTGGCTCATAGGCCTTCCATATCAAACTGGCTCATAGGCCTTTCATTTCAAACTGGCTCATTGGCCTTTCATATCAAACTGGCTCACAGGCCTTTCATAACAAACTGGCTCACAGGCCTTTCATAACAAACTGGCTCATAGGCCTTCCATATCAAACTGGCTCATAGGCCTTTCATAACAAACTGGCATTTAAGCCTTTCAAACTTATCGTATCAAACTGTGTCCACCATTCAAAATTAATGAACTTTACAGAACTTACATAGAAGTGACCAATTGGATAATAACATATTTCAGATATTACTCACAGTGATCGGCTTGTGAATTTGCCCTGGAGCTTGACCCTACACATCACATAGCACATATAGGTCACAAATAATTCAATCCCTTCTTTAATTCACATATTCCTCTTTAGGCTTCATTTTTATCTCTTTAATTCAATCACAATGCTCAATGTATGCCTAAGAGTGCTTAGAAGTGAAAAGGAACGGAAAAATAGAAAACATAATGCATTTTCAAAGTTTCAGAAAACAGGGTCCCCGCTCGAGCGTGGACTTCCCCGCTCGAGCGGAACCTTAAGGCCTGCAAAAGTACTGGTTGCATGAAAAATACGCTCGAGTGTGTAATAGGACGCTCGAGCGGAAGGCCTGTCTAAATAGCTCCCCCCGCTCGAGCGTGGCCTCCCCCACTCGAGCGGACACCAAGTCTGCAAAAAGTACTCGGAGCACATTTTTCCCGCTCAAGCGGCCATTATCCCGCTCGAGCGGACATCAAAATTCTGGGTTTTCCAGATTGTGTTCTTGAGTCCAACTCCGACATTCAACCAATGTTTCTTGCATACTATGGCTCCAATTTCACATATTCTTGTATTAACATAGTATAAACACCAAAACACATCATCACGGGCCTCAATTTCATAAATCAAGCACAAGCATGGCTCAATTTAATTCAAGTTCAATTCTATCATATGCATTCATGCATTCAAAGCTCCTATCTTTAATTATTCAAACATGCATGTTAATCGTGACTTCATTTCTATTCCAATTGATGCAAATGGTGTTCATTCTCATGGAACACAACAAAAACATGCTAGATTATGTAATTTCATAGGAATTCTCTACATGCATGCACATATAGACTTCAAATTCATCAAAACCAACTCATCCCACGTTCTTGATCACTATTTAGTCTTTAATTCACAAAATTACAACTCAAACCCATAAATTAAGGGTTAATAACTCACCTAAGAGCTTTAATCTCCCAAACTAGGATCAATTCTTGAGTGTAGCTTCAAACTTCCAACGAGATTGTATCATTCTGAGATGAATCAGCGAGAGATGAATCGATCCATTGAGAGGGTTTAGAGAAAGAGAGAGCGAACGAGAGACTGAAAGAGGGGCTTCAGAGGGTTGCCCATTTAAGGGAGAGAGAAGGGACATTCAAAGGCGCTTTTAAACGCTTGAAACGGTGCCGTTTTATTTTTTCAAACAGCGACGTTTCTTAAACGTCGTTAAATATTACAAAATGTGACGTTTAATAAAACGCCGTTAAATAAACGTCGCCAAAACCCATTTTTCCTGTAGTGGGTATTACACTTCTTCACTTATTGTTAAACTTTGAAACGAAAAAAGACCATTTGTAAAACTAGAGGGACCAAAGTGAAATTTGTTTTGAATTTCACTATGATCCCTCTAATTTTGCACATGATTTTTTTTCCATTCACAATGTTAACAATGCATGATGAAAAGATCACATTACCATAAAATTAAAAACATATTAATTAAATTATTTAAATTAGAATTATGAAGTCCAAAATAAAATTTTGATCAACCTAAAAGGGCTAGTAGTGTAAATTACCCTAATTAAGACCCTATGGAAGTTGTCATTACCAGTCTTTTTCTCGTCTTTCACATCCTTCTATCTCATATGACGGGTCGTTTATCGTGAGAGGCGACCGAGGAATTGTATCATATGTGTAAGGAATAATTTTCTAACTTACTCCAATTGTTATCTTGAATTTTCAAAGTGTACTTGTCATTATACTGTTATATATTGCTCACATGACAAGTGTCGTCAATTTTATTAATATTAAACTAACCAAATAATCACGTTAAAATTTCATTTAAAATGTAAAAATTGACTGTTACAATTAAAAAATAAAAAATAAAAATATAAAATGTAAAAGTGCAAAGTGCATTTCCCATTTGATTTAATGTCACATATAGATGGTTTTAATTTTTAGTATGAGAAATTTTTTTTTTTTGTTTTTGTTTTTGTAATTAGAAAAAAAAAAAAAAACTTTATTGATGCAAAATGTTGGAGTTTGTATATTTTAATATTAAAATAATTTTATATAAATGGTTATTTATGTAGTTTAAATTATCCTCTGTTTATACATGCATAAATTAAACATTGAATTTGTAAAATCACAAGATGAATAGTAAACCGTTAATGTGTAGTTGGTACACTCAAAAGTGATTATTAAATAATAAATATTAGGAAAATGAGTGAGACCCTCTTTTTGGAAGACCCACAACGTTCATAGTGATCCACACCATTCATAATATGTGAGGTCCACTCATATATGTATAGGGTCCACATAATGAATGATGTGGATCACTATAGGGATTGTGAGGATCCTCCAACAAAAAAAGTCTCTATCATTGCTCTAAATATTAATAGTAACGTCTGCTTTGGAGAATGGTATGGCGATGATTTTCTGACTATATTTATTTTCTTATGATAAATACGGTAATTTCACAAAGCAAAGGACAACTACAGATTAAAAATAAAAAATTATAAAAAAAATCAATTAAAGAAAAGCAAAAGACAAATAATGGGTCATAGCAAAACCTTCTTGTCCCAATTACCTTACCACATACAATCATATGTAAACATTAACCGAAAACAACTTTGCTTAAATTAAACGGTGGTTTTATATGTACTAATTAGTATATCAATTAATATACTAACATATATTATAACATTATCATTTCAAAATTATGACCCCTTCCATTATACAAATTACAAAGATTTAAAATCTCTAAAATTATGTCACATCATCTATTAATACACTAATTAATATATTAATTAATGCATATAACATTATTCTAAATTAAAACACCAAAACAAAAAGAGCAAAAGGAATGAAACACAATAAAATTCCATAAACATGACGACGATGACCACAAAAAAAAAGAAGAAGCAGCAGCCAAATTTACTAAAATTAAAATACTTGTACCAACTTTGCTTGATTAATCACTTCCTCACTCCAAAATAGAATGCCATTACACAACCTATTGTTTTCTTAGGACTTAAATTACATTTTAAAATTCAATGCTTGCTACAACCAAGCCTTGGAAACAATGTTTGAAAACCCAGACCGACCGGTCGGACCGCTGACCGAACCTTGTTCTGATTCGGATGAACCTTCAAACCTGGACTATGCTTAAAACCGGCTTAGAATTTGAAAACCGGAAGAGCTACTGGTTCAATTGGAATAACCGGCGAACCGACAATGGGTCAACATAAGAACCGACCGAGTTTAAAGAATTAAAATTTCTTTCAAAAATATGTTGTGGAGAGGGTTTGAATATGAAACCAAATGCATAAAAAGCAAGCACTTAAACCACTGAGTCATCAATACAATTGTTGACAATGTATAAAAAATCAATGTATAAAAAATATAAAATAAATTTTAAGAAATATAATTTTTTTTTGTATTTAAATATTATTTATTATTTTTTAAAATTTTAATAGCTATATTTTTTGTACTTATAAATTTTAATATATTTATGACATAATTATGACATCACGGTTCAATTCCGGTTCACCCGCAGTTGAACCAGTGACCCATCTGCCCAGTTACTTTTCCGGTTCGCTCACCAGTCTGGTTTTCAAAACATTGCTTGGAAATCAACCATTCTTCTTCTTGTCTTAATATTACTTCTATTGTTTTAATGAAAGTAACCTCTAAGACCATCTCCAATGATTTCTCAAATCTATCATCAAATTTGAATTTGGTGAAAAATCACACATTTTCGTGCTTCAACGGTTTCATCAAATTGGTATTAAATTTTGGATTTTACTTTTCTTTCATCAAA